ATTTGGCTGAACGCCCTAGTGGCGACTGTGCGTTGAATTGAATCCGTTCGTTTGATCGTATTTGGCTTATAACTCATGACTTATCAGCCAACGAACAGCAGTATTTTTCTCTCACACCAAACCAGCCAATAGTACTTTCAGTCATGGCTTATAAGTCAAACCAGCCCAAACAAACAGGACGAATATCTCCTGTAGGAGCCAGAAATGGGCATCGCGCCGCTCTCTAGTCGCCAGCGACACTTTGGGGTGGGCCGGTGGGGTTGCGCCAGCATTCTTATTTTTATTTTTTGTGTGGGCACAGTTATGCCAGCAAACAACCTTAGAACAACTTTTTTTTTTTAGGAATGCAATTGCAAAACAGAAGATCCAAAAACCCTCTTTAAACTTTGAATGATGTGATCACATTAAACTATAAATCTAAGCCGGGTTGTATTCTTCTCCTATCTAGGATTTTCGAGGCGTGAGTTTTTACCTACATAGCTTTTTAACGAGTCAGTCATTGTACGAACAACTCAATATTTATGTTCTCTCTTCTATGGTTATCTATGTGATCATGTGATATGTTATGTGTATCTCTGATTTTGAAGATCTGTTAGGGGCGTGCTTGGTTGGCTGGTTTCAGCCGAACCAGGCCCTCCACATGCATGGAGCGATTGATTGGTTGGCTGCAGGAGGCACCGGGCATGTCCGACTCGGTGCAACGAGAAATTTCCTCGTTTCTGACGGCCTTGGTTGCCGCAGTGCGCGTGATGCCTGACGAGAGAGTGTTCGTGCGGCAAGAGAGAGCAACCAAACACCATTACTCTATGGTTTGGCTGAATAGAAATGAGAACCAAACAATGGTAGCTGTATCCGATAAAGCGTGCCTGACCACGGGCCAGGCTTTACCCGCAAAGAAACCAATCATGCCCTAGTTTGATGTTGTTATGCGATTTTGAACAATTTTGGTTATGAATATAAGGGCTTGTTTGGATAGATTAGGACTAATAACTAGTTCTATTAGCTCTTATAAGTGAACTAGTGAACTAATAACTAGTCTATGATTAGTAGACTAACAATTAGTCTGCATGTTTCAAAAGAAACAATCAGTCCGTATGTTTGATGTTTAAAGACTAAAAATTAGTCACTTAGTTGTTAGTTCTATGAATCCAAACAGGACCTAAATTATTGCATTAGCTCCGTTCGCTTGGTTAAAATTGGCTGAAAAAACAAGGCAAAGCTGAATTGTTGTGAGAGAAAAATACTGTTTCGGCTAGAAAAAAAAAAGAAACCGAATAAGCCGGCTTTTAAGTTAAGCCGAACGGGGCCATTACGTGTATTCGCTGTTTCCTGATGATCGTGCCTGAGCATGACAGGGACACGGTGATCCACCGTGCCCAACGACATAGCACAGCATGATACACTTGAGGACTGAGAGTACGTGCCTAGGCCGTAAAGCCAGCACGGTGAATCGGTGATACAGCACGACACGACCAAGACGTCGTGCCTGATTGTGCCGTGCTAGGACCGGGCCACCCTTAACCGTTGGCAATCATCAATCCGTATCGTGCGCCTTGCTGCCGTGCTCCTGTCATCCTGCGGGCTGTGGCTTCGCCTGCCGTTCCTCTTCGTGAAACCGAACCGTGCAAGAGTATTGAGGAGCAACTGAGCTTTCATCATTTTCCTCGAGTGGGACACTTTGTTAATATTTTTTTCTCAAGACAAGAAAATGGTGAGGTGGCTTCTTACATGTCAGAACTTATGCCATGTTAATTCAAAACAAGGGTCAAAACAACCCTGGGGGAAATAACTGATATTGCGAGTTTAGGAATGGTTCTGTCTAGTATATGGTTAAAGGAAATAAAACCTCCACAGTAATCTAGGGAGGTCAAAAACACACGTCCAAGTTGCACTCACAGATTTCAAAGTTTGAGCTATGCAGGTGAGATAAAAAAAAAAGCTAGCATTTTCACTTCTTGTATACAAAATGCAACAAAAAAAACAAAAATAGCTGTTATTACTTTGTTAAAATGCAAAGGCCTACCAACAGAAACCCCTCTTCCTGTCTTCCACTCCTATCATTGGAGTTGCAGCCCAAAGTGCCGCCAGTATGTAAGTATATTGTGTCCAAATGCTTGAATCTTAGTTGCCTCATCATTTCACCATAATGAACAATGTACTTCGAACAAAAGAAAAATATCAAAAACTGGCAAACAAAATTTCAGGGGACACCCTGCACTCCACTCCATGGGTATAGGTTCACCATCTGATTGCAGAAAGTGCTGATAACCCTACTGTAAGTTGCGGGTGTCAAACATTGAATTTCAATCCCTTTCGTTTATTCATCTTTCTCTCCAACATTGAATTTCGCAATGAAGAAACCAATGGTATCCACTGATGATGACGGATCAAACCTCTGAACAAGTTCAGCTTCATCCTCTCTCAACCATTCTCTGCAAGGGCATGAACGTTTAAGAGATGGAAAATCAACTTTTCAGTAAGGTGCATTTGAAAGATTTTTCAGAGTTGGAAGGACAACTTTCAGTAAGGTGCATCATGAAAGGAAAGCCTCACTGATGAATAATAATCTTAGAAGTTATAACTAACACGATTAAGTCCATTTTGCCAAACCGCCACCCCTCGAAAAAAAAAAAGGCCCCTGTGTTAAATTAAGCCCCAACTACAGAATCGAGTATGTTTGGCACCTCAACTATTTGGCTCAACCAGATTTGTAGTTGGGGTTAAAATTAGACAAACGCAAGAGTTAAGGGAGGAAAATTGGACTTAATCCTAACTAATATGCCTCACTAATGATTATATACATAAACAACTGATTATTTGGCTCCTAACCAATGATATAAGTGACAAAAACATGTAACTAGTTTCACTTGATAAAGAAGTTATCCATATTCCAATGCCATGTATAACATATATGGTACAGCACCCTAATGATTTGAATTTGGACATGAGGAAAAGTTACATGCACCTTAAGAACTAACAGAACTGTTTCTGGCCTGAAAATCGCCAGTTTGGCCAACAAGTGGAACAGTCCTGTTCCAGTTTTAGGGGGAGTTGCCAATAATTACCAATAAATGAAATTGAATTGTCCAAGCAATATCTGAGTAACAGGCTCAGCTGTTGAATTTCTGACAAGGTGATAATAATAATCTTACTCAGTATATGTCTTGTTGAACAGCTCACACGAACCAACAATACCAGGCCCTCCAACTTTCGGAAACTGAAAAGAAGAATGAAGATGATGTGGAAAATGCAGTCAAGAGTCCTGTAAATATCAATTTTAGTAGCCTGGAAAATCTCAAGCATCCATCTTTTGAACAATAATGTGAAGACCAGAGCCATGATGTGCAAGATTACAAGATTTAATGTCTGAACTCTGAAGTGACATGTTATCAGTGTACACTATCAAATCAAGTTCCTTGGCATCTCAGCCCACATCCAACAGTTCCAAAAACCTAAGCAGGTATATATCACATGGTTTGCTGCATTCTATGGAGTATGGCTTTATGAATTACTTTCTTATTTTGCAATCTACTTCCTGATGTAGTTTAAGATAATATTGGTGAAATTTTTTTAGCAATGTACAAATTAATCAGTTGCAAATAATGGAACTTACCTGTGATACCAGTGACAGATATTTGTAGGTATCCAATGCATATCTCACCAAAGCCTCATTCTCCCCTGGATTTATAGTACACCTGCAACGCAGAAAAGAAAGGCACGAGCACTAATAAAAAAAGCTATTCACTGAGCTCTGCTTTATACTACATTGGCAATGCAGAAAAAAAGGATGATGTTATGACCGGTCGGTCATATGCACGAAGGCAGAAGCCCATTAGTGGCTAGTTAGGCGCAAGGCCCATTAGTATTTTCATTATTTGCTATATATAGCTATTGTAAGGAATTGAAACAATTAAGCAAGAGCAATCAATCTGCTCGGCTTCCCTTAGGGAGCCGGGAGACTTCATAACAGCCCTAGCCTCCTCCTTCCCCTAGATCGAGAACACGGCGCCCCAGCGCCGTTCCCGTTTCCGTCCTCCGATCCACCATCCCTACAACCTCCGAACCATAGCTGGTAGGATCCGCAATCCTATCAGATGAGCACTAATAAACAAACTATTCACTGAGCTCTGTTGTTCGTCCTTTGAATTGATGATCACATCTACCACTATACCAGTTCGTATTGTATGACATGCAGATACTAGATAGGACAACATTGTAAATTAGCAACATGTACACAAACTAGGATTACAAATCAAGTTCTTCAATCAAATAGCAATCAAGGATAGTCCTGCAATATATGAACAACTAGTTGTTTTCTTGACTACATGGGTAACAACAAAATGCTAAATTTCTTGACTACATAGTTATGACTTATGACTGGTATTTATGCAGCAACTACAATGAACTTCTGATGATAATAAATCACTAGCTCCACTGTTGTATCCTGGCCCTGTCCTTTATGTTCAATCTCTGGATAGGACAAATAAGGTGGCCTTAGGAGCTCTTAGCCATGTCCAGTAAGTGTTTACTAGGCACGTGAGTTGTATTTTCTGCTAGGTGTATATATGTGTGTGATCTGTATGGAGCTCTAATCCCCCTCCTTTTCTTCTTAATATAATGATACACAACTCTCCTACATGTTCGAGAAAAAATCCATGTCCAGTAAGCAACTGCTGTAAGTTGAAATGTTGGTCATCCAGCTAACAGCTAAAATAACTACATGTGCAAGTTCTTTTTAATCTTCTACCACAGGTGAAGTATGGAGTTGGACAGAAACTCACGTTGAATAAACAATCACCCCACCAGGACGAACTAATTTGACAGCTTGATCAAACATTCTCCTCTGATACTTCGCATGATTTTTCAGCGATTCTAGAGTTTCCTGTCATAATAATGGATCTAAAAAATCAAAAGAAATCTTCCATGCTATTAACTGGTACGAGCAAATACTCAAGGTAACAAGATAAAAAGCACATCAAGCTATTAACTGGAACGATGTCAAGCTCAGCTCTGAAAATTTGCCAAGAAACAAAGCATATATTCAGGAGTTTCAAAAATCCAGGTGATAACTGATAGGCAGAACGAATTAAATGCCAAAAGATACAATAACATATAAGACTATACAATCATTTTAAGGTTACTGCACTAGCTGAACATTATGAACTGCTGTCAGTTGCTATCCAGGTGGGCAAAAAAGTAGCACTATCTATTCTCTAATCACCATATTCTTCTCAACATTAAATTTATGACACAAAAATGCTGGCAATCAACTATGAGCCCATTACGTTATTTTAACTGATGCAAAAATAAATTGAGTCTTTTTTACAGCATGATGCATTGGTAATCAACAACATAACTAAATTAGGTAGAACTTACCTCACCAGCAAAGAGCCGAGGTCTCAAGCCAAGCGCAGAGCATGGAGCATCTAGGAGGACACGATCAAAGCTGTTAGGATAAAATCCTTTTGACTTTTCAACTCTACCACCAGAGCAATTATTTCTTCCAGGTCCATTCTTCATCCGCCTTAAATTCTTCCTGAGTTCTGCCTTGCTAATATATCTTTTGGCATTTAGGTTGTCATCTACTGAAAAAGAATGTTCAGTTTCTGTATCAGGAATACACTTCATCTAGAGTGAATGAGTGATCTAGCCTAGAGGCTGTGTGATGATGATACCACACTCCCTCTCACAACATATAAGTTGTTTAGGACATCAAAACTGTTTCAAATAATTCAACAAGCACACTATGTGATTATTTTAAATAGAAAGAGTCAGATATTATATAAGTGTTTTCATGATGAATCTAATAACACCAAGAATATATTGGTGAATCTATGTAACTTTTTATATATCGATTGTCAAGGCTATAAGCATTTGAATAACAAAAATTCTAATAAATATATATATTTGCAATCAGAAGTAATAATCTCTACTCCCTCTGTTAAAGAGTGTGACGCTTTGGACAAGATGTTGTCTCCAATAAGGAATTTGAGAACAGGAGCAATAACATGCTTTTGTTCAGTTGTTAAAACATCTCATGTTATCACTCAGCTCTTGCTTGGTTAGTAGTGTCTCCAAGGCAGCCCATCCACCAGGCTGACAGGCTCAAACCTAGGTGCTCACAAAATGTGGATACCTCCCTGAGAACTTTTTTTTTCCGAAAACGCAGGAGAGCTGCGCTTCATTGTATTGTCCCCATACATCACACACATCTCATACGGGGACCAAATATGAGAGGTGGTTTTGTTAAATTACATGATCATCTTGAGTACAAAAAAAGGACTCGGCCACCACATTAGACTCTAGCACTAAGCTCTAGACCCTGAAGTTTCTTAGCTCCGGCCATGCACCAGAGGCTATGCTCATCCTTGAATTCCCTTAGAATGGCGTTTACAGATGCAGAAGCACCCTCGAAGACGCAAGCATTCCTATGTGTTGACACTCAAATTGGGCCCATGCCAGTTTTGGCCCAATCTAAGGAAAACTCTATAAAGCAACATAATAACATTGGTTTTCCAACATCCAATCGACATTTACATTTAATATCCCCTTTCTCCTAATCCTTTTTCCAACCCCATGCTGCTGTTCATCTCTTGATCCGACGACCAAGGATGGCGCCCTAGGCTTGCCAGCCGACCTAGGGCAACCCACCAATCCTTGCCCTGATGGGGTCCCTCCCAGGCGAGAGCTTCGACGGTTTCTTTGCTAGTTTGCTCGTAAACTAGTTGTTCTTCGTCGCGCAAGCATGATGATTATCCTTTGATGGTTTGCTCGTAAACCTCTCCGTTCTTCACCACAAAAGAGTGCTGGTTATCCTTTGCTAGTTTGCTCGTAAACCTCGCCGGTCTTCACCGCGAAATCGTGTTGGTTACCCGCTGGTGTGTAGTCCAATTCGGCGGGTGTGTAGTCCAATTCGGCGTCAACACTATGCTTCCATATAATCCAAGCACCTAGGATAATTAAAGAATTCAGTCCCTTCCTGTGCTTCTTCTCAGTTCTTATTATTTTGCGCCACCAATTAGCAAAGCTAAGTTCAGTGCATCTAGGAACAGACCCAGCCAATCCAATTTGACGGAACAATTTGTACCTCCCTGAGAACTGGTCAACTAGTTTCTTGGCCAGCTAGGGTTTGGTACTTCCCACATCAAGGCAAAGCCAGGGGATGTCATCCCCCACCAGTCGATTTTTTCTTTTTTTCCTCAAATAAGGCACTTTGACCATCAATTTTTGCTGTATATGTTAGTAATAATCATTAAAAACATATAATTTTTTAAGCATCTCTTAGAAAATATCCAATAGCAGCACTTTCTAGGGCATCAATCTAAATAGCATTGTACACCTTAGTGATCCAAGTTGAGGAATTTTGACCACTTAAATTTAAAATGCCATGTAGTTTTGAATAGAGGAAATAAGTGGTATCTAAACAATTTAGGCATAGCTCATTGCACCGAACGTGGAGTACTTAAATAAGCTATTGAATGTACATGCAATCCATCAAGTGAAAGAAAGGATCACAGGAACTCACAAGCATAATGTGTAAACTGACATAATATCAATAGTGTAGAAAGAAATGGGTGCAAATCTGCATGCTCCTTACCAGAATGCACCACTGTTGTTGTTGAGTTGTCTTCATCTACACTGGTAGATCTGCCATCTACTGTGGCATGGCAAGGGTCCTCTGTTGGTATCTCAACTGCTTCACTGTGATTATCAGCCATGCCAAGGTTTCTTGCTTCATCAGTTTTCCGTACAGATTTGAGGGCATCAAGTTTATAAGCTTTAATACAACTCAAGTCCATCTCAGAAGCCAACTTTAGAATATCCATCACCTGTAATCTACTTTCATGTTAGAGAAGCACAGTTACATATAGTTTTAATTTTATCAAGCATGAAAAAGAACTGTATTCATTTAGTATGACTATGACCTAGTGGGGTGTGTGGTGGGTTGTATGGGATATTGCCCCCATTTTTTCTTCTTAATATAATGATACGCAGCTCTCCTGTGTGTTCGAGAAAAAAAGAACTGCATACATTGCATTAAAGAAGGAATAAAGTATCTTTACAAGGTTGGACCACCCCCATTAAAATAAACAAAACAAGATTGGGATGGAAGGAGGGAGGACAAAAAGAAACAAACATGCCAAAGAGAAACTGCAATGCTAAGCTACAGGCTTGGTTGAGAGCAAATAAGCTAGGCCCCTTGTTCCACCATCAATCAGTTTCTGTGAACACTACACACACCACTCAGCTAACATTTTTTTATGACTTACAAAAGGATATGTGTTCATGAAGCTATAATCCTTATTGTGAGATCATAGACCTAGGTCAAAATATATGTTAAAATCTGATGTGAAAAAACAGTTTACCTTATTGTGAGATCTATCAAGGGCAACAACTTCTCCTTTGTCCCTCATAAGGATAGCAATTGCTGTTGTTTTTCCTCCAGGAGCAGCGCACATATCTAGTATTCGCTCTCCTGACTGGGGATCTATAAAATGGGTCACAAATTTTATGCAATACATATCAAGTTTGGTTGAAATCTTGTTGTGATGCTGTACAAATATATGGAATGTATAGCATGAAAAATGCATAATCCGAGCTATTTGTGAATTATATACCCCAAAAAAATCATATGTTCCACACAGCAAAGTTAATCAGTAGTACCACTGAAGAAACAAATTCTCAAAAGCATGCAAGTGACATTCAAGCCAACCAAATGTAAAAAGGTCAGCGTCTAGGGGGGAAACAAGTATTGAGATAGCCTGGATTCAACTGTTTATTTCTAGCAAGATTATGTGCAGTGGTTTTTCAACTTGGCAAATTGCTTTGGTTTTTTAAACTGCAAACACAAGGGAGTTTTAGGTTTTCTCTTTGACTAGAAGCCAATCAATGCAGTGAACTCCTCTAACATCTGCAAACTAAACATGCATTTTCTCCAAGGTTCATCACGAGTGCTTCATATTATTCCATATGATGCACAGTCCTCTATGTAATCGTTTGGTTTTCTATACTGCCTGGATTTAAACTAACACAATCAACACCGTGTTGGATATTTGTAACAATTGCATGGTAAAGATCATAATATTGGGTGAAACATTACATTGAAACTAGCAGCCAAAAAATATATAGAAATCATACCAAGGACACAAGCAGTCACAACACTTGGTAAATTTTGAAGAAATATCTCCCCTTCAAGCACATCTACAGACGAAACGAATTATTAATTAGGCTTAAAATCAATAATATGACAAAAGGTGTCGGTGCAGAAAGTAACCAACACGTAAATATTTGTAGTTTTGCCGTACGTTGTGATCGGAGGTGGCCTAACACTCAATGACACAGGATTTATACTGTTTCAGGCAACGTGCCCTACTTCCAGTTTGGGTCGGTCGGTGGCTTTATTCCTGAGCCAAGGTGCTCGAAGTTTGCAGTGGGGTTACAAACGAGAAGGAGAAAGATGGGGTGTACAAGAGGTCCGGTCGGACTCTGGTCAGAGGGGCCGAGAGTGACGGGAGCTCCGCTATGTGCTAAGTGAACTTGATCGATCTGATTGAATCTGAATGAACTTATCTTTGTTGGAGAGAGCGCATCCCCTTTTATAGATGAAGGGGATGGCCTTACAAGTGAGAGGGAGAAAGTGCGTGTGCTACTACTAAGCCTTGTTGCCAACGTCGACGGGTCCAGGATGATGGTAGGCGTCCACAATACTATTGAATGTCAGATGCACGTGGGAGGTTTGTGTTGTCTTCTTCGGGTATGGCAGACGTCGACGCCTACCACACTGTTGATACCTGGAGGCATGCAAGGGGTTTTACCATGTTCGTCTGGTACGGTAAATGCCGGCGCCCACAACACTGTCGATGCCCAGAGACATGTGGGGGGAGCCTTACCGTATTTGTCGGGTATGGGAGTTGATGGCGCCCACAACACTGTAGGGGAAAATATCGGCGTCTTCAACACTGCTTGAGTTCTGTCGTGCCAGGAGGGTCGCAGGGCACTGCCTGGCAGGTGCACAGGGTACGGTCCCTGGTATTGCGGTTTTGACTTGTGCGCCCTGCCTTAATTTCTTCGTCCATTCCCTGGTCCTTACCGAGCGGGCGTCCCCGATCGGTTAGTCCCAGTCGGCTCTGAATGCGCCAGTTGGAGAAGAGCAGTGAGCAGGGGCCAGTCGGAGACGCAGGTCAGAGTTGGAAGTAGTGCTTTGGCCAGGCCTTCCAGTTGGAGAGGCCGTCCGGAGGCGGGCTGGAGACCGAAGCGAGCGCTCCGGTCGGAGAGGCGGGCCGGAGTCGGAAGCGGGCGCCGTTCCTCCTCGGCCAGGCCTTCCGGTCGGAGATTGGATCCTCCTTCTGGCCTGTTGTCTAGGTATTTTGGCCGACCCATGAGTTGCGCGTTGCTCGCAACGTTGTCCGTTGGGCCGAGCCTTTGTTGGGAAGCCGGTCCATGAGGGACCCCGGGTTTATGAACCCGACAAAAGGGTAATTAGATAAATTAGTTGACAATTTATATCAACTCAATCAAAGTATTGTTTTTGAAATCCTTTTCAAAGTAAAAGTAGATGGACAGAATTCAAAAGTAGGTATGCAAGAAACAAAATTAAGGAGTTGGCAACATTCACACCATTTTACATTGGTGCCTTTTGGGTTTCTTCTGATGGAAAATGAAGCCCTAATACAGCTTAAGGCATGTTTGTCTATTATTTTCAGATGGTGGGTCGGAGCAGAGCTTATCCAAATGTAATCCCTGGGTAGCTGCCACGAGAGAACAGCTGGGCAAAGGAGCAAAGCCCGGCTAGCTGCATGAGTTGTAGTTGAGGGTTGAAATGATAAAAATACCATTCAGAGAAATGATAGTATGTGTATGTTGTTTGCCAACCAAAGGGTTTATACAGTCTGTCCTCAAGTTCTATATTAACACTGTAAGGCTGCATATATCATCAATAATAAAAAAAAGGGGGGCAGACCCAGTGCCGGAGGCTCCCACATGAGTGGGGTCTGGGGAAGGGATTGATAGCATAAAAATGATTTGTAGATTGCTACAACACATTGCATATAAAGTATAAACTAATGAAAGATGCTTACATATATTGCTAAAAATTATACAACAAATTAAGAAAATGCAAATATACCGTTGAAAGATGGGAGCTTGTATACCCTCTCAGTCATCTCTACTGCAATCCCATGAGGAACACGAAATATCGCAGACCTTGACATTGCAGCGGTTCCTTGACCAATGTACAAACCCTTCCTTTCTTCATAATGTGCATCTGCAACATTGTGTATGTAAATAGTTCATGAATATGCCACCTTTATCAATGAAAAAACCTTGCAGCACAACCTAAAACAATAGTACAACACCAAGTGCAACCATCTATTTCAAGGGAAAATAGACACTTACAAACGAAACAAAATCAATCTATTTAACAAGTATAAAACGCACTAAAAGCATCCACTGAAAAACAAGCTTGCCTGATTGCAATCCCTGTAAAACAGTTCCTCGTGTTATGCCCACAGCCCAGCCATCTTCCTTGACAGGCTGCTCAATAGCGACTGACACTGCAACCTTATCACCCTTTTCAACATGTGAACTACAAGCTAAAACACCAGGAACATACACCTGAACACAACGAATGGAAAAGATCAAACACAAGTAGAGATTTACAACAATGAAGTTGTGTAGTGGCATTTGATTCAAAATCAAAATACAGGAAAATCATATTTGAACTTAGACAATGAAGTTTATGCAGCACACTATTCAGTTTAAATTCAAGGACTAAACATTACTAATTCCTTCAGAAAATTCGCAAGATCAGAAAAGGTACAAAAATTGCTGAATCAAAGCGAAGAGGGAAGAGGGAGTGTTAAGGATGCAATATTACAATAGTCAGGGTTCAACCAAATAAAAAGGTATATTAGCCTGATTATTGAAGGTTAACACATTAAACACTGTGAACCTGTTCGACCAAATACAGCAGAATATAACAAGTGTTCACCATATAACATGCATATAAGCTTTGTGACACCAGAAAACAACAATAATTTTACTCATATCATGAACTATGTAGGCACAGAATGCACCAAAAACATGCAGCTGTTGTGCTCATGAAAGGACAGCAATGTTAGGTATTAATTCAATTTTACACCTCCTTTTCAAAGATTCTGCCGGGGGCCAGTCCCCAAAAATCTAGATTCTATTTGATCCTGAAAAAAAATATCAAGCAGAATGTCCCAAATAGGGAAGTGATCACCAGTGTTCAACATGTGTCAGTCTAAATGCTGCAGATTCAATCCAATGGCCCATATTATAATGTGGAGGGAAGTGATAGTGGATACGAGACAACTTAGAAGGTGTTTCGCCAAATGTCTGACGGTTCTTGTAGATTTATATCAGCTGCTGAGATCACAACCGCTGGCAAACATAGACGGTTATCATTTTCTTATTTTAGGAGTGGCTCTCACTCATTAGTCATTAGACTCGTTTGCTACATATAGGCACACATGCAGGAAAAGAAAGATATACCTGGGCACCCCGGAAGAACTGACTCTGCACATTTTCGACTTACAACTACTTCCTTAACAGCTTGATCTGGTTGGCTACCATAATGCAGCACATGTGGTCCTGATCCCTGAACAAACAAAACATTTTCAAGGCCCCGATAGGGGCACTTGTGGACCAGAGAGCCCCGTTCATGTTGTTGCTCTCCACCATTCAGCTCCACAACCTCCAAACCATTGATTACAGCAGAGAGCTCATTTTCGCATATTAGATCCATCAGTTTATGCATGACAGCATCAGTGGAAGACTTCAGAGTATTGACACGAATACAAGAATAATAAGAAGGATGCCTGCACCAGTAATAGTCATATATAACAGTAACAGCCATCACTAACTGAAAATTAGCACCAATTTGGCATAAGCACCCTAAACACAAACTGAAAATTAGCAATGGAGTTCAGAACAGTACCCTAAACACAAATTGGCTAAGATAAGCACATATAAGTTCATACTTCAGAAAAATTATGTAGCGAGTCGAAGCCAAGAACTAACTATAACATAACATTGCGCATTTGAATAACTATGAACAAAGACACCGATCACATACCTAAATACTAGTCTCTTCAGACCAACCGTCTGATGTGCTAATCTAGTGATCATCTTATCTTCCAAATATTTTAAACGATAACTGTGCACTAAGTTGACTTGTTTAGTGTTTATAACCTGAGAAAAGCATGTGATGCAGAAATGTTTCATCAGGTCGGCAAATTTTCATGTGATGAACGTGTTCAACAGCATGAGATTCACTGATTCGGAATATACTTAATAACCAAGTATTATTGGTTGTCCGTTGCCAAGATCCCAAACAGTAGCATGTTTTGTATTTCCTGACAACATAATATATCCTTCTTGTTAATTGAGGCTTTTACATGTATGCCATTAAAAAAGTTTGTAATTACACACAGGCCATTAAAAAAGTTGACCGCACACAGATGCCACCGTTCTGAACTTCTTTGTTCTCCAAGTCATTCCATCCGCATTCCGCTCGCTTTTCACCGTTTGGGAGTCCCGACAAGTGGGTCAGTCAGTCAAAACGTCCATAATACCCTCTCATCCCTATCTCTCTCTCTCTCTCAAACTCGATCTCTTCTTCTCTGCTTGCTGGGCGGCTGTCTGGGCCGGGGCCGAGCTCGCCACATACCACCATGGGCAGGGGGCTGAAGGCCGCCCATGCAGGTGGTCTGTCCGGGCCGAGCTTCGCCCACACAGCGCCGAGGTGGCCGGGCCGAAGCTCACCCGCGCCCTGCAGCTGGCTGTCCGGGGCCGAAGCTTCGCCTTGGCGATGCTCAAGAGCGGCCGGGCCGAGCTCGCCCGCGTCCGCGCCAGAGGCGGCTGTCCGGGGCCGAAGCTTCGCCTGTGGTGGCTGTGGCCGAGCTTCGCGCGCAAGCGCTCCGAGAGGCGGCGGCGGAGCTTCGCCGCGCGCCGCGCGCCCATGGGTTGTGGCGGACCTCTCGCAGATCACCTCCACGCACGCACGCTGCGTCAGATCCACGGCGAGGACCGGCTGCGGCAGACTCCGCGCGCCGCCTCACGGCTCTTGCCCGCCGCCATTGGGGGCGAGGCCGCCTCGCAGACGCTGGGGGCCTCGACGGCATTGTCGGGCTCGCTCGTGCAGCTGCAGCCTCCCCGCCATCTCCTTCTTCTTGGCTTGGCAAGACGGGAGGCGCGCGCCGCACCTCGCTCGAGCACGGAGCACGCTGGGCGGCAGCGGCATTGTGCTGGCACGCCCACGGCGCAATGAAGCAAGACAAGCTCCACCACCGCTGAAGGGGAAGCAGCAGCACACCGGGAGGAGACGCGATTCGCCAGCGGCCAGCGATTTGTGACAGCAGAGCACGGGAGCGCGGAATGGAGGCGCAAGAGAAAGAGAAAGTTTGGGTGGATGGCAAACGGACCCCACCATAGGGTAAAATGGTCATTTCACCTGTCTGTTTGACACCGTTAAATAGAAAAGCGATCAGAATGGCTTGGAGAGCAAAGAAGTTCAGAACGGTGGCATCTGTGTGCGGTCAACTTTTTTAATGGTCTGTGTAATTACAAACTTTTTAATGGCACACTTGTTAATTCTGAATCATTCTGTTACTAACCAATGGAAGGGCTGATGTAAGACTCGAGCATCTTGGCCACTGGATATGCAAAGAACCTGCGTTTTCTGTTCGGGCCTACATTTCATTATCAATCTGCGGAGTCTACTCAGGTAGAACATTACACTACACAGCTACAGCTAATAAGAACCCTAGAACCTGGATTTAAAACACAGGAATCCTAGAATCAGCAGCAACCTATCAAAGGAGAGAAGGGGAACAGCCAGAGGCAGCAACTGGTGGGCGGGAGAGTACTCACGCGAGGGCCTCGGAGATGCGGGCGAAGTGGTCGCGGCCGTACGCCGCGGCGAAGTACTCCTCCACCTCCGGCTGCCACCGCAGCCTCGGGCTGTACGTGTACCGCCCCGCTTCAGCGGCGGCCGGCGGTGCTGCCGAGGGGGAGGAGTCAGAGTCCATCGGCGGCGAGGGACGCCGGTTGCGGCTTGCGGGCCAAAGGCGGATGGGGAGGTGATGTAGGACTTGGGGAGGGAAGAAGCGGCGGAATGGAGAGCACGAGGCGGTGGGAGAGCGGGAGAATCGGAACAGAGGCAGCTGCAAACACTGGAGCAGAGTTGGGAGTCGGAAGGCTGGAGCAAGCCAACAGTGGGGTTTGCGGGTTTTGCAGACAAGGGGTTTCGGACGCTGGGCAGAATTGGAGAAGCACGAGCAACAACTAAAAAGTTTATTGGAGAAGCACGAGCAACAACCAAAAAGTTTTTTTTTCCCTACTATAACTACAGTTTATTTCTAGCCCTCTAACTCGAAAATCAGACATGTGTGGTCTCTTAACTCTCTAAACCAATTAAAATTGACCCTCGCGCCGGCACGACGACGGTTTCCGCCCAGTCAACCCACCACTACCGCGGTTTCGGCCCATTCTCCTTGTCTTCGCAGCCCAAGTACCCCCGCACTCTCCTCTCACTCTCGTTCCTTTCCCAACCCCGAACCCTAACTCCCGACGGCGGCGACAGCGACGGCGACGGCGACTGCGGAGGGTGCTGGTGTGGGTGCGGATCGACAACATGGCGAGCTCGAGCAGCGCGAGTAGCTGGAGGGGAGGAGGAAGGTCCGACCATGGTGGCTTTCAGTCGTACCCCTTGCAATGTCGCCGAGGCCCTCTTGATTATTGGCCGCCCGTGATTTGCAATTGCGGAGCGAAGGCGGCAAAGTGGACATCGTGGACCAATGATAATCTGGACCGCAAGTTCTACAATTGCTTCGGATCTCAGGTGAGTTCGATTGATGACTTGTTTAGGGTTTGGTTCTTTGTTGGATGTCATGATTGAAGTTGTCTTGGTTTTGGTTGTAATCGTGGTTGTAGAGCAATATGCGGCCATGCCAATTTTATCGCTAGATTGATCCACCAAACCCGGAGCACCTTGTACCCGTTCTTATTGAGCTCCGTGACCAAGTGCGAGCAATGAGGACGGCTAACAGACGGGGAAATGGTCACATGGATCTGGCATTAGTTGATGCAGCATTCGTTGATGCAGAAGCATCAAGGCAGCAAGAAAGAGTCATGGTGGAAACAGGATTTGTAGGCACAGATGATGTGGCAGCAATGGTGCAAACAGCTAGAACAGAAGATGTTCAGTTGAAATGCAAGATGGTAGAGAAGAAAATAGGTTTGTTAAAGTTTGTATTGGCGGCCTGTGTGATTTTAGTGCTTGTTGTACTTTTTAGGAAGTAGATGTTTCTTGCTTTTTTAGTTATGATGGAAGACAATGGTAGTAGTTGGATGCTTGTTAGTTTGTGGTGTAGAAATATGGAAGATGTATTGAATTGAAGATGTATTTTGCTATTTTTGAATCGATTATGAATTTCAAGATAAGGCTTTCAGGTTTTGGTTGCTCATCATCTCCCTACTGTCATGCCTCTGCATGCTTGCCCTTTTCAATTCAATTCAACTTTGCACAGCTTCGAATTGCCAATGCTTGCTGAACTGCATAACTTATAGCCTCAAAGGCAACCAAGGAGTGATAGAAACGACTGAACATTACAACCTGGAAGTCTGGCATTATATTATATTATAGGTGAAGAACATCACAAATGCCTTAAAAGTCTGGTATTACATTACAAGTTCAACAATCTAAAAGCCTTGAAAGTCTGACAGTACAATGCAAGTTAACATCACAATATGGCAATACATGCTCTTAGGGATCAGCACGGTCTTTGAGAAGCAGCAGTTGGCTTGGTTGTGTGCGCTTCTTCACTAATTGCTTCTTCCTTGGAGGTTCCTCGTCAGTGACTATAACACATGCTTTTCCACCTTTAAAACTCAAGTTCACAGAAGAACTTGTCTGGGACAATGGAACATTGGCTTATAAATGCATGTTAGCTTGCCCAGGCGTTTGCACTCTAGCTGTGGCAGTGCACTTGATCTTTTTCTGCATGTGAGTTAAAATATAAGAAATTAGAGGCAAAATTAAAAAAAACAACATACGAAGTAGCACATACAGTTACTTGGCTTCGCTGAGATGCTCTTCTTTTCCCTCTTCCTCTACTGCTTTCATTAGAGGTAGCAGTGGGTACAAAGTTGCCAGTACAAAGCTGCCATGTGTAGAAGCATCAGCTGATAGATTACTTGGTTGTGGAGCAGCAAGACCTGTGCCTCCTGGAGTTTCACTGCTAGATGGAACCCCATGTCTCTTGTCACAAGTGGACCTATTGTGGCCTATTCCCTTACATTTCCTGCGTCTGATGACTGTCCCTACCTTAGAAAGTCTCTTTGCCTTTGGTTGTTCTTGTGGCTCCCTCTTCCTTTCTTTTTTAGGTCTGCCTGGCATTCTCACATATCCAGGTGCCTTCAAGGGTGGGAGATCAGACTCTGGCCAATTCTACATACCCTTCAATGGGTTTAGGTAGTGGAAATAAGTATTGTTGAACTCAGTAATATGATAATAAGTGAAGGGTCCTAATATGGCTAGAGGGGGGTAAATAGCATATTTAAAAATCTACAAACCAACTAGAGCAATTTGATTAGTATAACAAATAGCGGAATGCAAATTTGCTCTAGCTCTACAAGGGTTGCAAGCCACCTATCCAACAATTCTAGTTACTATGATCACGAGACACTCAATCTGCTAAGTCACTACTCACTAAGAGCTCTCACACTTGCTACACTCAAGAGCTCCACTAGATGAACACAAAACAACAAAGCAAGCTCTCAATTGTAACTACACTAAAGAGCTTGCTACAACTAGTTTGCACGAATATAAATGAGTGAGTAGGGTGATTATACCATCGTGTAGAGGAGTGAACCAATCACAAGATGAACACTAAATCAATCACCGGGAGAATACCAAAAGGTAAGAGACAACCAATTTTCTCCCAATGTTCACGTGTTTGCCAACACGCTACGTCCCCGTTGTGTCGACCAACACTTGGTGGTTCAGCGGCTAAGAGGTGTTGCACGAACCTCGTCCACACAATTGGACATCGCAAGAACCTACCCACAAGTGAGGTAACTTAATGACACGAGCAATCCAGTAGGGTTATCTTTCAGCGCTCCACCGGGGAAGGCACAAGTCCCCTCACAATCACCGGAGATGGCCACGAACAATCACCAACTCATGTCAATCCTCCTCCGCTGCTCCAAGGCGTCTAGGTGGTGGCAACCACGAAGAGCAACAAGCGAATCCCGCAGCGAAACACGAACACCAAGTGCCTCTAGATGCAATCACTCAAGCAATGTACTTGGATTCTCTCCCAATCCCACAAAGATGATGAATCAATGATGAAGATGAGTGGGAGGGTTTTGGCTAAGCTCACAAGGTTGCTATGTCAATGCAAATGAGCAAGAGAGTGAGCTTGAGCCAGCCATGGGGCTTAAATAGAAGCCCCCACGAAATAGAGCCGTTGTACCCCTTCACTGGGCACTGCTCGGGGTGACCTGACGCTCCTGTCAGATCGACCGGACGTAGGACCTCAGCGTCCGTTCACGCGATGCACGACACATGGCACCTGCTTCAAACTCTGATCGTCCGATCTCAACGGTCATCAGTACATTTAAGTTGTGATCGGACGCGCTGCTTGAAAGTGACCAGACGCAGGACCCCAACGTCTGGTCGTTTCCAGTAAGGTTCTACACGTGATCGGACGTGTCCGGTCACCACCGACCGGACTCGCCCAGCGTCCGATCACTCACTGTTTCATCTGTGCGCCACCACAGCAGCATGACCGGACGCTGAACAGTGTTCAGCCTACGTCCGGTCACCTGTGTCCGGTCAAGAGACCAAGGGCGGCCTTCACTGCGCGCCACTGACCGGACACAGGACCCCAGAGTCCGGTCATTGCGTGACCAGCGTCCGGCACACTCTGTGAAATCCTGTCTTTTCTGTACAGGGCGTCGGTGGCACCGTCGGACTGTCCACACTCTACGGATGGACACTCCACCGGTGGAGTTTTAAACCCTTGCTCCCAAGTGCTAAACACAATGTGCATCACCTTTGTGCATGTGTGTTAGCATATTTTCACAAACATTTTCAAGGGTGTTAGCACTCCACTAGATTCTAAATGCATATGCAATGAGTTAGTTCATCTAGTGGCACTTTGATAACCATATTTCGATACGAGTTTCATCTCTCTTAATAGTACGGCTATCCATCCTAAATGTGATTACACTCTCTAA